TCAATGGGCTGATCGAATTCTTTCCGAATCCGTACGGGGGTATGCATGTATACACGAATAAAATGTAGGCACATAAGATATTGATACATTGACGGATACGTACGGATAGATAGATAGATAGATAGATAGATAGATAGATAGATAGATAGATATTAATAGACTGAGAGATATAATGAACAGAATGAGATAGATAGATAGATAGATAGATAGATAGATAGATAGATAGATAGATAGATAGATAGATAGATAGATATTAATAGACTGAGAGATATAATGAACAGAATGAGATAGATAGATAGATAGATAGATAGATAGATAGATAGATAGATAGATAGATAGGGAGGGAAAGTATTGCTAATCATGTTGCTATAGAAATGTATTTTCATGATGAATGGGATTGTCAATGATCACGAAATAGGGTTTATTGTGTATAAGCCACGTTAGGCTTTCTGGTGCAAGTCAATATTTTCATGGGTTTGGTAAATCCCACAGAATATATTTATACTATGAATGTATATATAATTATGTACAGGGTAATTGAGAAATAACTCCCCATTTGAAAATACCTATAATTTGCTTATTAACTATAATTTTGACAAGAAATGTACATAAGAGGGACGCGGTTAACATGAGGTTTTATTTGAAATTCGATATGGGCAACAGATTTTGCTACCAATTTCTTCAGCATCCCAGTAATCGCGTCAACTGATTTCACTACGAACACTTGTGGTATGAAAGACATGTTGTGTTAAGTCAGGACTTCTGGCTGGCCAATCGTACATTTTTTTATAAGCATTTCATCCCATGCAGCAGAACTTTTGTCTTCTCCAGAACATCTACAAGTTGACTGAAAATAACTCCCCATTTTATAATAATTATAATTTATTTATTAACTATAATTCTTACAACAAATGAATATGAGAAGAAAGCGTTTAGCATGAGATTTTATTTAAAATTCGATATGGGCACCAGATTTTGCTACCAGCTTCTCTAGTTGCCCAGGAATCGCGTCAACTGATTATATCAGGAACTCTTGTGGTATAGAAGACATAACTTCATATATTCGCCCTTCAAGTTCTTCCAAAGTCTTGGTTTGGTATAGTATACTTGCTCCTTTAACCAACCCCAAAGAAAAAAATCACAGGATGTTAAGTCAGGACTCCTGGCTGGCCACTCATACATAGAGTTACTTTTTAATCACTCTGTATAACTAGAAATAATCCGTGAAAATTTCATGGCTTTCTTATTTGAATTGTCTGATGAATCTTAAGAGTAAGCTCTTACCGAGTTCTTTGACAATAAAATATCCTAACAACTTTAACAAAATATTCTATTAACAATGATGGATGCTTGTCGTTATTTTGGGAAGTGTGTGCAAAGGAAAAAACTTAAAATCAACAACTTTTCCATTTCACTGAAAAAACTTTAAACACTTCTATCTTCTCTTCATTTTTCTTTGTCATTTTTTACTCGAGCCAAGATGTCTTTTGGCAGGGTTATGTCTTTTCCGTCTTTCCACGCATTCAAAACAGAATAATCCATTATTTATTAGGTCTTAGCAGCGTGTAACGGTCGTTCTAATGGAGGGACAAACAAAAGATATAATGCGATATAATATTATAGGAATTCCAGTTTATAGTATTCTTTTCTGTGTAGGATATTTGCAATAACATATTTTTTGATGCGAGATTTTATTCTGTAATTTCAGGGTTATTATTATTATTATTATTATTATTATTATTATTTTAATTTCAGCTATATAAAGCGGGTCATAAAATTATATAACCTCAAAAGAGAAAGAAGAAATTGTAAAGTTTTGAGTGATAGGCACCTAACGTTGCAAGGTGAAGGGGTTTGAAGAGAAATGAGATCAAGCAAAAAAATAGAAAATATTTTCGAGATAAGAACTCCAAGAAAAGAGGTTTTTAGAAAGACAAAGACGGATTTATGCAAAAAATAAGCCCGAGTCATTTGCAAGAAATGCATATTGACAAATAAGAAAAAAATAAGCATTTCTGTTGCAAAACGAATAATTGTTTAAGATCAAATACATAAAGTCTGCCATATGTCATAAGAAAATCATGGCCTCAAAAGAGAAAAATATTTTTGAAGTATTTCACTGATGAGAAAACTAATTGCGAATTGAATAAAAAGTTGATAAACAATAAAAAGATAAGAAGAAAAATGGCTTTAAAAATTCCAACAAAGATGGATTTAATTAAATTTGAATTGGGAAAAGTGATTGGCAAATGTGATTGGCAAAATGTATTGGCAAAAGTGATTGGCAAAAATGGATTGGCAAAAGTGTTTGAAAAAAAGCGAATTGGCAAATTGGATTGCAAAAGTATATCGGCAAATTAAACTGAAAAAAAGTGATTGGCAAATGTGGATTAGCAAAAGTGATTGACCATAGTGGTTTGGAAAAGCAGGACTGGCAAAGCAATTGGCAAAAATGGATTGCAAAAGTGGATTGGCACAATTGGATTGACAAAAATGGATTGGCACAAGTGAATTGGAAAAAGAGGATTGGTAAAAGCAATTGACAAAAGTGGATTATTTACATTGTTGTCCTCATCTTTATTGGCATTTTCACGACATTTCGTCCGTTGTACCCGCTAGCCTTCTTCAGGTGATTGGAATTTCGAAATGGCCCCTTTATTTCGTCCACCGGGGTAGATTGTTGTGGCGATAACTGGGACCTCTGAAAGAGGCATGACATGTGAGCTCGAATTTCCAGGACCCAACCACAGACCTAAGGTCAGATATGGCTTCATGATATTTTTCACTGATCATTTTTGTAAAAAAAAAAACCAACCAAGATCACATATTTTACATAGATAAAGCTCTTCATACTTGTGAGTACAATATTTTATATTTTATTAAGGCATCGGCTGCCAGGAATCCCTTCATTGAGTCTATCAATCCGATAGTTTTGAAAATTATTATTATTATTATTATTATTATTATTATTATTATTATTATTTTCCTTTGATTTCTGGTGTATACTAATTTCTTTAAGGGTCCCAACCAGAGAGCTAAAATCAGAAATGACATCATAATATTTTCTACTGAACATTTTTTGAAGAAAAAAAAACAAAAAACAAAACAAAAAAAACAAACCTAAGCTGACATATTTTACACAAAACCTTTCGTAATGTGTTTGCTGTACTTGTGAGTAGAACTTTTTTGTATTTCTTTCATGTATGGGCTACCAGGAATCCCTTCAATGAGGCTACTGGAATCTGAAGTTGTTGATGACTTCATGTGCCACATTTTTTAAATTTCGATGTCAAGATTCTTTTATTTTGATAGTTTTTTTTTTAAGATATACAAAGATACATTTCAGTCTGCAGGGACAGCCATGTCAATAAGGAGTCACTTTTTATCTTTGGGGTCTCTGGTCACAATACCTGGGTGATTAGCTTTGATTGTTCTGCCTGTGTATATTGTAACGTCCTATCTCCGTAACCGGGTCTGGGTGGAGTTCATACCAATTTCTTCCAGTTTTCTTTCCGTAAAAGTTACAGATTTTCCAATTCAGATATTGGCCCACTCTGGGTTTGATATTCAGTGGGTACCAATACCGTGTAACTCAGATACTAGATGGTTTCTGGATATTTATAACAGAATCTGCATTTTTGGGCTAATATAATTTTTCAGTATGTGTTTTTGGTAGTTTCAAATCAGCAAGCATTGGTCCCGTGCAGTAAGAATAAAACCTGTTTCAGTTTTTACCACTGCACCACGGAGCCGCTGATGGGTAGAGGGTTTGTCTATATCAGCTTGTTTGGTACGGGCAGAATATTGATGGTGAAGAAGTTTATCTTGGAATCGTTTCTGTATCTGTTTGATTGCATTTGTCTTTACTTTTTTTGAAGGTTTTTGCAGCTGCATCAGATTTACTAAGTTTTACTTGGATTTCTTTACTAGACTGAAACTCCAGTTTGGACGTGTGGCCTTCTTTTATTACTGAATACAGTTTCTTACATCTTTCGTATTTTTTTGATACAGATCATCATCAAGTCTTCTGGCGTTCCCAGTTATCTTTGAAGGTCTATTGTTGTAGGTTTGTAAAATAGTTCTAGTTGAACTAATTCTCTGCCCCTTTCGGATCTGGTTATTTATAGACGATAAACATCAACCTTGGTATGATGCATGCGGTGGCAAATGGTTTCGCGATTAAGCGTCCATTCATACGTTATGCTTAATAACCGGCTTTCGAAACGGCTTTGGAGTTTGCCGAGTTTTACTCCGATATGCTTAGGGTGAAATCGACATCATCCTAAATTGCAGAAAATCAATTATAATCCACAAGAACGATCAATGGATAAAGAAATCGGATGAAAACTTTGATGTATCGATGGGATCGCTGGATTCTGCTGAGTCAGCGGACTTGGTCGGACTATTTATTTTGTACAATTTCACTAAACAATGAAATTAGTTTAAATAATATAGGTACTATAGAGACGATAGCTTGATGGTAATCAATAATTCTACCGTAGGAAAGGTTGACAAGGTGAGGAAATTGATTCATAGAGTGTTTTAATCTTTACACCTCAAGGTTACAATTAAGTCTAACATAAAACAAGTCGATTTCTTAGATGTAACCTTAAACTTAACCGTAAAGAATTTCCAACCCTTCTTCTTCAAAAAAAAAAACAACCTCCCCCAAAAAAAACAATAACCCCATTTATATAAATCCTAATTCCAATCACCCAGTTATTAAGCTTATCCCATCATCCGTTGAACGTTGTATCAACCAGCACTCTTCTAACAAAGAAATATTCGATAAGCGCAAAATTATTTATAATAAAATCCTTACCGACAGTGGCTACAGATCTTCTTAAATTAAATATAGGGAAAATTATAGTTAATCTAAAAAAACAATAGGGGAAAATAATTTCATATACACCCCGCTTCAACAAATTAGTCCGTACCAAATTGGGACAGAAATTTTTAAATCTAATTAACAAACATTTTCCTACGAAGAGTAAATTAAGTCAAATCTTCAACCGTAATACCCTAAAAATTAGTTATAGCTGTTCTAGGTATCTAGAAAACATTATTAAATCACACAATAATAGAATACTGAAACTTTATAAGGAGAATAAACACAACCCAACCACAAATTCTAATACACCCTAAGTAAAAGAGCTATGTAATTGCAGAATCCCCGATCAATGTGCATTATCAAACATGTGCTTAACAAAATCCACTGTATATATATACTATATCTCATCAAATGAGAACCCCAGGGATATAAAATTGTATGTGGGATCAACTAGAAGACCTTTTAATGATCGATATTTCAATTATATGTCCTCGTTTACAAATTCAGCCAAGCGTAGTATGACATCACTTTCGTAATATTTTTGGAAATTGAAGGAGGAAGGAAAAACGTCTAAGGTTAAATAGAAAATACTAAAACAAGCCACAACTTGTAGATCTTTGTTTTTATGTTTGCAGGAAAAATACGTATTATTGAACTTTTTAACAACAACCAATTATTAAATCAAAGACAAGAAACCACCGTTTTTTGTAGACATATTAAAGATCTAACCTTACAATGTTGCTAAACGTTTAAATTCATAACTCTTAACGCTTAAATCTATAACTCACCTCCTTTGGTATACTTTCTACCCTCTTAAATATCCCCCCACGAATCTATCTTAGATTATGATTCTTAAAATGTTTTACACCCACAATTATACTACACGTTGTACATTTCGACAATAGGTGAAAATTTGCTTATATAAGATATATTAATCTCCCATACATTTATATACGTTTCTATTTATATCTTAATTTCTAAAATTAAAACAAAAAAACTCGAATACAACACACCAAAAAGAAAACTTCATTTATTAATTTATTAATTTACAAAACACTTTCATTGATTACAAAACTAGAAGTGATAACTCCAGTCTAAAAATATGCTATTAAGCTCTGGCTTAATTTAAAAAAAAAAAAAATTCCCAATTACTTCTATAAGTATCGTTTGAATTTTCCCCTCCTTCCTCTTTCATCATATTAATATCTCCTATTCTCACCTTTCCTCCTCAACTCTTTCGAGAGTGAAAGGTTTGGAAATACTGTGCCTAAACCCTTGACCCTTGTTGGCGAAATGAAAATTTTCAGCCATTATATTAACACCTCAACCATTCTTCCCCAAACTGATATCAACAACCACTATTATTTCACTCCGTCACCTTTTTGCCTTTATGTATTTTTTATTTTCTTTTTTTTTTTTCAAACAAATCGGAAAAAAGGAAGTGGCGCTTCACATGCGGCTTGCTTACAAACAGAATTGTTCATAACCAATTTGATTCTCACCTGTCGAAGTGCAATTTTAAATGCACTGAAGCAGAACTGCATCTTAGTGTAGTGAGTAAATTGTTTCTGTCTATAAGAAAAATTATAATATATACATACATACATATATATATATATATATATATATATTTGGTTGGATAGATGTGAGTTTGTGACCCTGGGTTTCACGCTTTAGCGATCGTCAGACAAACTGATTACTGTTTTAAAAAATTTGGGTTTATGTAGATTGCGTGTATTGGTGTTATTGTGGAAGTGGTGGGGGAGATTTCGTCGTTTTGTCATTCATCGTACTAACACAAACATCGATGTATGCAGACACATATACATATACATACTTGGTCGTCCGTCGGGACTCATACATATATATAAACATATGTAGACAGTTTCGGCTATGACACATGTATGTATGTATGCACCACCGTAAACTCACATCTATCCAACCAAATATGTTAGCTCTATCTCTGATATTGAGCGCTTTCTAATAAGTACCGCATATAATATATAAATAATTATATATATATATATTTATTTATATTTATATTCACTTTTATATATATATATATACATATATATATATATATATATATATATATATATATATATATATATATATATAGACCGGGGTTGAATAAGGTTGACGAAGTTTTTGCTGGCTGAAATACACCTATTCCCCAAATGAGGTAATTTTGGATTTTATTGTGGACTAATTATTTGCTCTATAATAAATACATTGATCTCTTTTTGTGGATCACTTTTAAACATTTTATATTACTAGGATCCATCAAGATTATATGCCAATGGATTTATTACCTTTACCATACATATAAATATATATATATATATGTGTGTGTGTGTGTGTGTGTGTGTGTGTGTGTGTGTGTGTGTGTGTGTGTGTGTGTGTGTGAGCGCGCGTATACGCTGAGACATGACAGTTTGGATGATCGCATATTTTGACATTTTCTAGTCGCGTCAACTTTAGCACTAAAAGTCAGTCATCCTTAATGAATTGATCTTTTCAGTTTTACCCTAAGTAGCTTAAATATTCTTGCTTTCGCTGCGAAGATATTTAATATTTGTAGAACATTTCCAAAATCTGTTTCCAGGTTTCTCTACTCTATATTTGTCTGTCTGTGCAAAGCATTTTGAATATCTACAGATATTAGGTTGCGGGGCCGGGATGTAACTTGCTTAAAACTCAGAAACGACTTTACTGCGCATGCATAAACATCAGCGAGTGTACTTGTCCATTGTCTGGTTATCACATTCCCAATAATCAAATGAATCATCCAGGTTCTTCAGATCTGCCTCAAGTTCAGATTTGACTTCATACAATTTCTGACTGAGATGAGATTTTAGATGGTGGGTGTGATTAAGTAGAACGAGACGAATTAGCGATTGCCAAAGAAGTATGCAGATTTGAAGGGAAGGTAGTTTGATGAGGACTAAGGTGCCATTGCTTAAAAACATCAAATTTTACCGTTCTTAATAAAAAGACAGATTATTTCCTGGGAGAGGTTATAAAGAGTATGATATTAGGTGACTGAGTGTAATCTCACATCAATATTGATTGAAAAGATTTTCTTGATTCCACACAAGAACATTCGAGAAGAGAAAGATCTGAAAGAATTACTGCACCGCCGCTGCTCTTTCATTGCCTTCTGCTTAGGATTCCATAAGTTGGTGGCATCGCTACTCCATACTAAAGGCTTGATAATTATCCAGGAGGCGAGGAAAAATGAAATAAAATAAGGAAAAAGCGTGCCAGGAGGCGGTACGGTTGCATAAGAACCAAATATTTTTTTAAGAAAATCTACAAAGCATAATCACTGATCATTAATACTGAAAGGAATTGGATCCTCGGCGTCTACTTTATTAAGCAACTTCATAAATATCTGTGTCGGTGATTCTATTTCAGTATGTTTGTCTTTCTATGTAAGTACACACAAACACACACACACACACACACATACACACGGACAGAGAGAGATACATACAAACACAGACAAAAATAGAAATTCTAGCATGATATGTAGGTCGGCTGAAAAGTTCGTAGATACCCTCATGTAATGAAGCCAAGTGAGGTTGATTTTTGAACATAATCTCCCTTGCGGTTCACACACTTCTGTTGCAATGTTTGGATCCCATTGATGGAGAAGTTTTTATTCTGTTGGTCAAAAGAATCATCAACAGCAGATATGACGTCATCATCATTACGATACTTTTTTGAAGCCAAGTGTTTTTTTCTTTTCTTTTGGGGAACAGTTGACTGTCAAATGCGGCAAAATCAGGAGAATAGGGAGGGTTTAAAGCTACAGTCATGCACAGAATCCATTTAAACCATGGATTTGTCTGTTGGATCGTTTTCCTGATGCAACAAGACCATTTCGATAGTTTTCCTAGGTGTTTGGTCCTGATAATCTTTTGTAACTGCTTCAGAAATTTGGTACAATATTCTCGCCATTGATGATGTGGCGCTTTTGAAGATAGTCAATAAACACAATGCTTTTTGCATCCCAGAAAACTGAGGACATCACCTTCCCTGCGTATTAAACGACCTTGACACAGTCATCCATCGCCATATGTGGTTTTCTCGTTCAATGATTTCATTGGTAGTGGCAGTTGCAGGAAGTCCATAGCTTGGCTCATCTTAAAGACTCCCTTTTCCGCTCCTAAATTCAGTTGCCCACTTTTGCAATGTCGATAAAGATGGACTGCCATCCTCTAATGTAGCAACCATGTCAGAATTAATGTCCTTGGGGAAGGGGGGGTAAACGTGTTTTCCGCAGGAACTTGATAGCACCACGAGGCCAAAATTTGACCATTTTCAAGAGAATTTCATACTAGTTGCTTAGGAAATTTTTTTGAACAGTCAGATGACATATTCCCTGGAAGGAAACAATAGTTATTAATAAGAGTTGAAATGAATGCATACAAGATTTCACAGATCATGATTTAGTTGAGGTTAAGGTTTCCAAACTACTGCTAGATATTGTATAAGGCAGGCTAATGTTAAGCATCTTAAATAATGATTATATCAACAATAATGGATAATCGAAAACGTGAATGAAAGAATGAGGGAGAATGAAAAAGAGAGAAAGAATGAAAGAGAAGAGAAATGAAAGAGAGAGAGAGAAAAAGAGAAAACGAATGTAAAAGAGAGAAAGAATGAAAGAGAAAGGAAATGAGAGGGAGGGAGAGAGAGGGGAAAATATAGAGAGCATGAAAAAGAGAATGGAAGAAAAATCAAATGAAAGGGAAGGAGAGGGAGAGAGGGGGGGAGATAGAAAGCATTTTCAGAAATGTGCATAATGGAGACATGCCCAAGATTGAATGAAGGTGAGATATTTAACCTTTCCCCTGGTAATTGGAGAATGATTCTTGATTTTGTTTTCTACCATTTGATTATTCTACTTATTCTGTAACTGCTCGAAGATTTCAGCTTTCCAAGAACGTTTTTTTTTACCTGACAGATATTAAGGAGTTTTCTAAATTTTATTCACTCTCTAGCCATGAATAAAGAAAAGGAAACTATTATCAGCGTTCTAGTTTCAGTCATGTCGTTATTTCACTATTTTATTTCCGTGTCTTGCTTTTTCTTTCTTTTTCTCTTTTATTCATTTTAATAAGTTCAGTTTATTTAAAAAAAAGGTTTATCGTATTTTAACCACCATTTTGTTTTAGATTTCACGTCATCTACATTTTAGCTTTTACGCGTTCTTCAACTGCGTCTTTGTTTTCATTGTCTCCTTCGAAATTGACTTATTTCTCTCCTTTCTCCCTCAATATTATCTCCCTTGTTTCTCCTTTTCCTTCTACTTTCTTTTCATTTATTCTTTTTTCTTTTACTCTTTGAATTTCCTTTTCTTCGAACAAAGGAAATTTTAGACCTTTCTTTTTTTTTATCTCGTTTCTTCATTTGTTTCTTTATCTATCTATTTCTTTTCGATTTCATCTCCATAAGTCTTTTAGAAACCATTAAGAATTTGAATTTGCTTTCACGGTCACAACTACAATATTAGGAACAAATTCAAAAGATGGAAATGATATGGATTGATTCTAAGAACATGTCCAGCATTATACCATCGACAGATCTTAAGCTACCCACACTCGCCATCTTACTTCCGCCATTCTTTTTAACAATTTAGCAGAAGATACTAAGAACAAGGCTGATATCTTCTGAAAAAATATTTCCGTATTTTCTCAAGTTTCTCTTTATTTACATTGCTCGGAATTTGTCCTCATTATTATTAGCATATTCACGACGTTTCGGTCTTTGTACGCTCCAGCGTTCTTCAAGTGATTTGAATTTCGAATGGAACCCTTTATTTTGCACACTGGGGTAGATAGTTCTAGTTCCATGTGAAATGCCTCTTCCGGATGTCTCAGTATCAATTATCTCCCTTTAACTCAACTCTCCAAGTTTTGGTTCACCTCAGCTGTAGTCAGGTATTAAACTTACAACTCCTTGCGTCTAGTCAGTGAATTCAACCAACACTTTTATCCACTGGGCCATTTCTCCTCTTTATTCTCCAAAATTATTCCATTTTAAATTTAGCTTCTACCCAAATATCTCAGTGGGGGATTTTCATTGGCACAATCTTACTTTTCATTGTATTCGATAGATTCTCTTACAAATTGAGTTCTAGGGAATTGGACAGTCTTTTCAAGATATCTCTATATCTGAATCTTGATACCATTTCTAATATATACAGTTTATGACACCGAGCATCATTCGGTATTTTTGTTTTGTCTGTAAATACTAACTTTTTAACTTCGGTTAATACAGATTTCTCATCAAGTATGTTTTTCCAGACAATAAACGCGAAATAGTTTTAAATTGAAAAAAAATATTTTCACAGATCTTGAGGTTATAGTTTCCAAACTACTGCTAGATATTGTATAAGGCAGGCTAATGTTAAGCATCTTAAATAATGATTATATCAACAATAATGGATATTCGAAAACGGGAATGAAAGAATGAGAGAGAATGAAAAAGAGAATAAGAATGAAAGATTAACTTTGAATAGTGTTCGATAAAATAGGAAAATGAGATTTTAAGAGAATCTGTTATATTTTCAGCTGATTGCAGAATCTAAACTTAGAATAAAAGTGTTACAAGATTATTTTCAAATAATTATTATTTTGCAAACAAGGTTTAAAAGTCTCAACAACCTTTATTATTAACGCAGTAAATCCTTAGAATAATATATACACATACATATATATATATATATATATATATATATATATATATATATATATATATATATATATATATATATATATATAGCAAGTGTAAATGGATATAAATCCGACAGAATGTAGAAATTTTGAAAAACAAACAAAAATCCATAAATATAGTTAAAATGAAAAAATTGTCGACGTTGACGTTTCGGTTTAATAAACGTTTTTCAAGACAAAATGAATTAAAATACAAATTCAGTTCAATATTGAAAATGATGGATTAAAACACGAAACGTCTGACGTCGACAAGTTATCAGTTATCATTTTAACTCATTTATGGATTTTGTTTGTTTTTCAAATTTCTACATATATATATATATATATATATATATATATATAAATGTAAAATAATAGGAAAACTGTAATAGTAGCCGATAAAGGCAAAAGCGAAGAAAAAAATTTTTTCGCTTTTGCTTTGAAAAATCCACATTGGAAGAAACGCGTCGGCTACTATTACAGTTTTTTACATTTATAAATATTGTCTTTATCTAGAGATTAATTCTGAGAAATTTTTCATATATATATATATATATATATATCATAAAGAAACAATTTTTTCATACATAGGGAAACACATATTTCGTTTTTAGGGAAGAATTTGTGCCCTGAGGGTGACAATTTGAAATTGTCGAAAGTACTTAGCATGTGTCTGCTATCCGACAACAACTCGAATATAAGGATCATATTATTCAAGGCATTGATAGGAAGTTAATACCTCATTAAGCCTTGTTAACGAAGTAATTTCGCCATTAATCACATTAACATTGCTATTTAATTTTGTGTATAAATTGTTTCTTTATGATATAAAATATAAGCTGCACACTCTAATATATATATGTGCGAGTGTGTGTGTAGGTGCGTGTGTGTAAAGTGTGTAAACATCAAAATTAGACTGCCAAACCACACCATGACTATACATGCCAAAAATATAAAACCAGTTCAAACAAAAATCACTTAAATCCCTCAACTTTTCTTTTTCCAAAATTCAAATTCCAACTTTTGCAGTGTGAAATCGTTTCTCTCCGAAAAGTCTCCGGGTATCCTAGCTCTCTATGAAAATAATCTTAATTCTTCAATCCCCGGCTCTGATTTTCTTGATTTCTGGCTATGTTCTTCTTCATAGAAAGAACTCTAATGTCCACATGCATGGGAGCTTATGTCCGTGAATACCTCCCTCTGGGGAGGAAATACTCCCTTGAATCTCCACACCAGTCTTACATGTCTCTCCGCCTTTCTCTCCTTAATTCAGTCATCTATCTCTTCTTTCTCTACCGTTCCTCTTCCTCTCATGACTGTTGCGCGCTAAATAGTATTTCTGATAATATATATCCCTACACCCGTCTTCAAATATGTTTGTGTTTGGTGACTTTAATGCCCACCTTGTCAGGTGGCTTAAAAACACTGTCACTGAGATTGCTGCAATCCAGACCCTTAACTTCTCAATCACTCAATCTCTCATGCAAGTGGTGGACTTCCCCAAACATTTCCCCAGTAGCCCTGAAAGACAAGCTTCTCTTCTAGATCTCTTTGTGTTACCTCTATCCCGGACTCATGTCATACTTTGCAGAACTGCCCAGTTGTCAACTCTGATCATGCAGTAGTATATGTAAATATCTCTTTCTGCTCCCCTACCAGTCAAGAGGTTCCTACCAACAGAATATCTTTCTGTTATCAACGAGCAGATTGGGGCTCATTCCGTGACTTCCTTCGTGACGTCCCTTGGAATGAAGTTTTAATTCTCTTGTTCGTAAATGCGTCGGTATTGATGTTTTCATTCCAGTAAAGAAATACCAAGTTAAACCGCATTCATCTCCTTGGTTCTCACCAGCCGCTATAGCCCACAGGACTCACTTCTTCCGGCTGTACCAGAGCGACACGCCTGATTGCAACCGATGTCTCTTTGTCTCTGCTCGTAATGAGTGCAAGGTGTGTCCTCAATGAATCAAAGTTACTCTTTGCTGATAGAATAAAACAACGAATAGTACCTTGCAAGTTCGTTTCTAGAGATTATTGGAGGCTCTGCAAGAGTGTGCTGAACAACAAATCTTCAATTCCTCCCCTATTCAATCAATTCGAAGTGCTGACATCTACAGCAGATAAGGTGGAATGCTTTGCTCGGAAATTCTCTTCCATCGCAACACTCGACTCATTAGGATTACCTGCACCTGATTTTTTGTCTAGAACGGATGATCTACTGAATGATATGCGCAAGGTGACGGTATCCCAGCCCACGTGCTAAAGAAATGTGCCCCCAAGATGGTTCCAATTCTCTACAACTATTGCCTCGCTGCTTCCTGTTTGTTGAAAGTCCTCCTCTTGTAGTTTTTAAGGACTCTGAAGAACCTTCTGACCCCTCTAACTAATGCTTGATTACTCTACTACCGCTTTTCGGCAAAATTTTCGAGGCTTTAGTCAATGCTGAAGTGGTTGAGCATCTTACTTCTCGCGACCCTCTCTCTGATAAACAAAATGGCTTCCTTTTTGTCAGGTCTACCGCTGATGTGCTTACGGCCATCATTGAATATGTATATCAAGCTCTTGATAATAACGTCGCAGCTCGATCTGTGGCTCTAGATGTCTCGAAAGCCTTTGATAGGGTTTGGCACGCTTGTCTTTTACGTAAGCTCTATGGCTACGGTATTACTGGATGATTGTTTGATTTAATCCAATCGTTTTGAACGGGATCGCTTCCAGATCCTTTCACACGAACACTATTGTCCCCCGAATTCTCTATCCTGGGTCCTACGCTGTTTCTGATCTTCATCAATGATCATCCTGATTTCATCAGTTCCCAATTTGTCATGACAGATGACACTAACGTTAACCCCAGTCTCAATAGGAAATCCATCAGAGCTGACAAAGTTAACTTGGCCGCTGCTCTTGAAACGGACTTCCAATCTGTGGTTAACTTGGACAGTAAAGAGCTCTCATTTAATCACCATTGAGAAACTTTTCTTCCCGCCATCAGCATGGATGATACCAGACCCATTGAGAGCAACACCCTACGCCTTCTTGGCCTCATGTCTTCAACTGATTTGAACTACTACATCGAATCAATAGCTG